CCCGGCCCCGCCCCCGAGTCGCCACGGCCCCGCCCCCGGTTCCCTGCGGCCCCGAAATCTCCCTGGAGGCCGTGTCAGGGGTGCACTCAGCCCCCTTGGCTCCTGCTCTCCCGTGTTCCCCCTGCTTGCTTCAATTTCCTCTCCACGGCTCGGTGGCAGGGGTCCAGCGCGAGGCCGGAGAATGTTTGGGAGGCGGCCCAGCGGACTCCTCCGGGCGCCCATCTCCGGGGCTGGGAGCCAGGCTCTTCGAGGCTGTACGCCCCTAGCCGGCAGAGGTGAAAGGGACTGCGGGGTTCTCCTACACCAGGTGGCCCTGCCGAGTGCGCCCCGCTACTGGGTGCCAAAAGGAGAGGCGGGGGAGGGCGCCTCCACCATCTCCCCGTTCGTCCCCCGCCCCTCTGAAGCAATAGCAAGCCCGCCCCCAGTCGCTCGGGCTGTGGGTGGTTCAGATGGACATCTGAACAAAGGGCGGCTTTCCCAGGGTCTGGCCTTTGGTATACACCTTTGCAGACATCTATTCTGGGAATGACCCCCGGAGCTGGGCTGGATTCAGCGTTTTGATGCCATCCAGCCCCGATGTTATGGATTGAATTGTGTCCCCATACCAGTGAATGTGATCCTGTTTGGAAAAAGTTTCTTTGTTATGCGAATGAGGCCACATTAGTATAGGGTGTGTCCTAACTCTAATCACTTCTGAGTTATGAAGAGCTGCTTAAACGCACAGAGAAACCAGCACAAACACGAAGATCGCCAAGGAACAGAGGGACGCTAGGGCTACAGAAGCTGAGACAAGGACGTTCCTCCAGAGCCCACAGAGAGAGAGCCTTCCCAAGAGGCTGCACCCTGAATTCCGACTCTTAGCCTCCTGTACTGAGAGAAAATAAATTTCTGCTCTCTAAAGCCACCCACTGGGGTCTTTCTGTTACAGCAGCATTAGGAAACTCAAGACACCCGAGTAATTCCTCATACCCTACTGCGCGAGTGCGAAAGGCCTTTTATCCAAATGGGTTTCATAGGGGGCCAGGTGCAGGTGAGGGGGCTGGCCTGGCCCCTGCCTGTCTTAGCACCATTTCCTCCGCACCTGGAGGAACCGAAGCAACCCCCACCATGTGTTTTTCGTATCACTGTCACAAGCCTGCTATAGGGTCGACTCGACAGCACTGGGCTTGGTCACATTTCCACATCACAACATGCCCAAGGTCTCCACACCTGTGCTCTGGGTACTTCTGGAGGCTCAGAAGGGGAAACTGAGTCACAGAGCAGGAAAGTGACATTGCTCGGGTGATTTAAGAGAGGAACTGGAGGAAGTGGAGCCAGCCTCCTAGCAGTGTGTCCTTGCTTTGAGTTGTTCCTAAACATATTGCAGTCTTTTGGCTCCCTGACCATATCAAGTCATGAGTGACAGGCAGGAAATGTATCATGTCCCTTCCCACACAGAAGCGGGCAGGCCAGGGGCAGGATGTTGTTTCCACCGCCCCCACCCTTCTGAGGGAAGATGGCCTGCGCTGGGTGGGTGGGTGCACCCCATGAAAGCTGTAGCCCCCACTGCCAGCTACTGAGGAGGGTGTCCTGCTGTCCCCCAAATGCTGTGTGGGGATAGGGGGAGAAGAGAAGGGAAGGAACAGGCCAGGAGGAGGTCTGTGCAGGTGGCTCCCTGCTTAGGTCACATCCCTGGGGAGTGGTAGGAAGCCAGGAAGAGCTCAGAGGTATCAGGGTGGGGCAGTAACTTCCTGGAGGGGGCCTCAGACAGGCCCCAATGTGGGCATTCAATGGAGCAAAACGTTATGCCCCTACTGTGTGTCAGGCCCTGTGCTGGGCATGGGGAGCCGTAAATACCAGACAGAGGCTGCTAAGTAATGGACTCGAAGACAGGGCACCTGCTCCGTGGTCCTGGGGCCACATGGGACCCTGCCTGCCTCCTACATCCTTCAGCTCCCAGCCCAGCTGTCACTGCCCTAGGAGCCAATTCAAGTCTCCCAATATGTTCACCTGGCCCCAGGTACCCTCTCCTCCTGACACCTCTCGCACTTATGTGCATAACTGATTAATATCAATCTCCCCCAGGACCAACTGTCCATGCCTTTCTCTGGAAGCTCCGGGTGCCCCAGCCCCTCGCACGGGAAGTACACTCCTCCGTTGACTAGGCAGCTGCAGAGGATCCTGTATCTGGTGCCTCCCCAGGGACGTGATGGGGTAGGGCTGCTTCACGCTGTCCCCTTTAATGGTGGCATGTTAAAGAAGCATGGGGAACCCCTGGGAACTGCAGGCAGAGTGGCCTGCAGGGTGTTCCAGAAGGGTGGAGAAGGCCAAGGCAACCTCTCCAGGCTGAGAAGCCTGGAGCAAGCAGAATGGTCTGCACTGGTTGGCTGGCTGGATGTAAGATTGGCCTCACTCTGGGCCTCAGTTTCCTCATGGGAGAAATGGAGACTCACTTTTTGAACACCTACCCCAAACTGCTGGACATGGGGGTACTGCTGTTAACAGTGATAACTAGCACTGAGTGCTGACTATGCCCCAGTCCGGTGTCTAAATCACCTCCTGCTCACAACCACTCTCCGAGTTTGAGATGGTCATTCTCTGTGTTTCCCAGAGGGGACCTGAGTCTTAGAGAGGTCACATGATCATAAGGTCACATAGCCAGTGAATGGTGCCTTCTGACTCTGGCCCTTGTCTCCATGCAAGGCTCTGCTGGCCCCTGGAAGGAAAGAGCCACAGTCCCAGGCTCAGGCCCAGAGGTGGACATGGTGACCAGAGTGGCCTAACTCTCAGAGCTGGGGAAGGGGCGGGGCTCTAAACTGAATGGGCTTAAGAAGAGGAATGGAAGGAATCTATTTTAATCCGTGGGGTATGTTGTTAGAAGCCAGGTTAGTGGGTTGAACAATGTCCTCTCAAAATTAATGTCCACCTGGAACCTCAGGATGGGACTTTATCTGGAAATATGGTCTTTGCAGATGTAGTTAAGGTAAATCGAGATGAACTCGTATAGGATTATGGTGGGCCCCAAATCCAAGGAGAGTGTCCTAATAAGAGACAGGAAAGGGCACAATGAGACAAAAGAGAAGGCCATGTGGCGATGGAGGCAGAGATTGGAGTGATGCGGCCACAAGCCAAGGAAAACCTGGAGCCTCCAGAAGCTGGAAGAGAGAAGGAAGGATCCCCCCGCCCCAGATTCTCCAAAGGGAGCGCGACCCTGCCGACACCTTGATTTTGGACTTGTGGCCTCCAGAACTGTGAGAGGATAAACACCCGTTGCTCGAAGCCGCCCAGTGTGTGGTAATTTCTTGTGGCAGCCCCAGGAAACGAATATGATCTGCCTTCTCCCCAGGGGGCCTGGCCCCTTGAGAACAGTAGCCTCACTCAGTATCCTACTAGCAGGCGCCTTCAAGAGTACCCCCCGATGGTACTGATGGGAAAGCAAAGCTCTGATGGGGAGAGTTACCTGCTGGAGGCCCCCCAGTGAGTTATGGGCCCACTGAGATTAGGATTCGGGTCTCATGTTTCCAGGGTGCACTTCATTCATTCATTCAGTTCCTCACGGAGCATCTCCTAAGTGCCCAGCACCCTTCAGGTGCTGATGATTTGGGGGACAAGGCTGGCAAGACCCCTGCTCTCATGGAGCCTGCAGGTTGGTGGGCAGAGGCCCTGGATGTGTGTGATGGCAAGTGAGGTGGGGGTCACGGGGCAAGGTTCGGGGGGGTTAGGGAAGGAAGGCGTCACTGAGGGAAGACTGGAAGAATGCGAATGAGAGCCTGAGGAGACCCAGAGAATGAGGGCAGCGGGATCCAGCTTGGGGCCACATTCAGGACTTGGAGTCTGTAAAAATGAGAGATTTTCAGCAGGGAGTGTCCTGATCAGAGAGACAAGTGGGAAAGCTGACTCTACTGGCTGCTGGAGGAATGGACTACGGGGTGGGGGGAAGTTGGAAGGGGTGAGATGCACCAGGAGGTGGAGGCTGGTGTCTGGGAGCTCTGAATTAACCTATAAGGATGTTGGGGGTGGGGGTTGTGGGAGGCGGGAGATGCTCTGCAGCCATGAGAAGAATGACACGACAAAGCTCTTCATATCCTGATATGGAAAGATCTCCAAGATAAGATCTCCAAGATACAGTATCTATCACGTGAAAATACGCAAGGTGCAAACTTGAGCATCCCGCTCTTTTAAAGAACTATCTATACGGGACACTGGGTGCGGGAGGGGAGGGGGAATTTGAGAACTCTCTATACTTTGTGTACAATTTTTCTGTAAACCTTAAACTGCTCTAAAACTATTGCTATTAATTGTTTTTAAGGGCATAGATCTGCATTTGTTTATGTATAAAGTTTATATAAAGTATTGTTATGGATTGGACTGTGTCCCCCAAAAATATGTGTTGTAAAGCCTAACCTCTATGCCTGTGGTTATAATCCCATTTGGAATGGGTTTTCTTTGTTATGTTAATGAGCAAGATTAGTTTAGGGTGTGTTTTGAGTCAATCTCTTACAAAATGTAAAAGAAGCAGATTAGGCAAACAGAGATGGGGGAAGATAAATGCCACACCGCATGAAGATTACCAAGGAGCCAAAGAATAGAAGCTGAGAGAGAAAGCCTTCTCCTAGAGCAACAGGCGCCCTGAATTCGGATTTCTAGCCTCCTATAGGGTCGCTATGAGTCAAAATCAACTCGACAGCAACAGGTTTGGATTTTTTTGGTTTACCCCTGGCAGCGTAGTGGTTAAGTGCTACGGCTGCTGTCTTAGTCATCTAGTGCTGCTCTAACAGAACCACCACAACTGTATGGCTTTAACAAAGAGAAATACATTTCCCCGCAGTAAAGTAGGCTAAAAGGCCAAATTCAGGACGTCAGCTCCAGGGGAAGACTCTCTCTCTGTCGGCATTCTCGTCAATCTTCCCCC